TAATGTTTTATGATGCTGTGAAATATTTAGTTGTATTTTGTAAACGGAGTTATACCAGATGTTAAGCCTTTATTTTATTTGGACCTTATAATTATTGAAAGTGAAGTTTAAGGAGGAAAATGCTAGATTCAGATTTGTTTTATTCATTTTGTTAGATTTATCAGCTTTTTATCTCTTTGAAATTAAAACAGACATGCCATTCACACATTATATCAGTGTATGTTATGTATAATTAATAAGAAGCAGCTCACACCTTTTATTGAACTTCTCACACTGGTGACACACAATTTCTTTCAGGACCCTGTACTGTCAGTGAAACCTCCTTTGTTTACAGACTCTTACTACCGGCTGGACAAATCTGGCTTCAAAATAAAAGTCAGCACTAAATTAGGCGCACATCAGAAAATGTATGTCATTGAAATATTAAACATAACAAAAGAGAGTATTTTTCATAAATTGAACAGTTTTAGTTTTTTTGTATGATAACTATTGTAAGTGTAAGTGACGTGCCGTGTGGTCATTGGGAGGCACATGACAGTAGGCCTACCATATTTACACACATATGAACCCGAAATTGGTTGGGCGACCTTATGTGTCATGTTTATGAGTATCCTTTACAACACATGCACATGCCTTCAGGTAAGTTAAGTAGTCGATTCACGTTTTGTAGGAAAATACAGCTCCACTATTCACACTCAAAAACATTTGCATGGTTTTGGGCCTACCTTGATTTAAAAACGGGGCCCCCGTATCTTTCTGGACGAATATGTCACCGATTTGTTGAAGAAGTCCAATGAGGTTTTACAAATCTCTCCGACTAAATAGTACTCATTACCGTGGATGTTTTGTTAGAACTAGCTAACGTGGAGGGAGAGCTTTTATTCTGAAGGTTCAATCCGGAAGCTCTATCATTTTGACTTGACGCAGGTTTGTGTGCAGCCCCTCCTTCAGCTGAGCAGCGTGAGTTGCTCGGAGGTGACGGAGACAGCCAGCTGAGCAGCATCCATTAACAACAATCACATTTCACTCTCGATTACACTGACTAAGCCCAAGATTTTAGAAATACACACCAAACATTTTTCTGTTTTTGGTATTTTATTTCAATTCTCTATTCATGTATACCTGCATATCAAAAATGTTATTTTTTATTACCCTCATTGGTAATTTAAAGAGTGTCCCTCCAGGAATATAATTCAAGTAAATATTTATTCTATTGCTTATTGCATGACTATTTTAAAATATGTCAATGCCTTCATGGATGATTAGCTGGTTCATAATATAGCATGGCTGACAGATGAGTAGATGGATGCTGAGGTGTGCTCACACATGTCGCCTGCCTGTGTCTCTCCCTCCTCTATGTGTCAGTTCATGTTAAAAAGCGCTCTGAGTATTGATCTGTGGTCCTCTCAGAGCTGTTGGCACATGTCAGTTACTGACTGAGAGTCCCTGTGGTGCGCTTGAGACAGAAGAGCAGAAAAGGTCAGACAATAGGGAAGATATGGAGCTGAACTTCTTTTCTTTTTTTAGCACCAAGAAAGTGTAAGGGTTCAGAAATAATAATGATCATGCACCACCTGGTATCTGCTCAGTTTACAGAAGAACATTTTCAGGTATCAGGAAAGTGTCAGATGTGATTTTTCCTACCTCCATTAAAGTAACTCAAAACAGATGCAAAGGAAGAGTAATTAGAGGCAGGAACACTCTGGTTGTTCCTGCCTCCGCACCAGGCATCATCTCGCTAAATGGCACTAGTAGAGGAGGGAGAAGAGGCAGAGAAGTGATGTCAGATTGGCAAAAGGAATGAATCGAAGATGAAATATTAGTAGTTTTAAAGAAAGACCTGCACAAAATAGAAGCAAGAAAACAACTTCTTACATATTCTTTCCCTCGTTTGTTTTCCCCTGAAGCAGCTTTACTGTTGTCAAAATCCTCTTCTTCCAGACTGAGAGACAGAATCCTAAAGACCTGAAATGATTTGCATAATTCGACTGGCAGATTGATGAATCATTTTAGTCATTCTTAAACAAAATGGCAAACATTTACTGGTTTTATTCTAAAATGTTGATATTTCATTTTCAGTATGATACACTTTATATTCTTGGGTTTATGACTGATGGTTTCTCCAGATTGTGAGTTTTAGGCAAATGTTTGTGGTGCTGTGATAAATCTCCCTGATCTCCCCTGTCTGTAAAGCCTTCTCCGCTGAAATGGACACTTTCTTTATAATGTTGCCTCACTCAGCTTTTCCTCCATGTGTGGTGAAGTCAGCCTTAGCTGCAGACCCCAATTAACCTTACAACTAATCTTGTTGATGTAGCTTTTCAATAGACATGTTGACATGTCACAGCAGGAATAGCAAAGGTGTAATCAATAACATTAATAACTTCAATCCATTTAGGTTAGCCAGTTTCAAGATCTTGGAATGGTACAGAAAATAGGCATCATTAATTATATTTGTTGTGCTTTTCCTTCAATGACAAAATGTCTGCTGTGAAAACAACTTTTAGAAGTTGATTATTTATGGTACTGTGCTGGAAGAAGATAGTTTTATATTTTGGTGTTAATCATAATATCAATCATCTCTCAGTTTTATTCAAGTGTTCCAGTATTATTCATCTTATTCATGTTTGGACCTGTGTTCAAAATGTTTTCTGTGAAAAAGACCTCCAATAAGGACATTTGTTTGTGGGGTAAGGGTGAAAAGCAACCTCAGCAGTAACATTTAAATGCAGCGTTAAACATCTGTGTGGGCGGACAGTCGCTGATGATCCTTTGACAGTCTGACTCTAAATGAACTGCTTTATTCAGTTGATCCAAAGGAGAAATCGATGAGTTTGACCCAGGTTTGACCCATCTTAAGCCAATTTACAAAATGTTACCAGGCCTATTGGTTAGTGGTATTTATTGTAATTTAAATGTCTCTGTAAAGCATTTTGGTCAACATCTGTGGTTTCTTGAAATGTGATCTATAAATACATTTGACCGGACTGTTGCAACCGTCTTCATAGATATACAATTTCTAAGACCAATATGTGTAATGTGGAGTATAGTGGAGTACATTTTATGCTGTTCTTCAAGTTTGCCTAGAATTTGAATTGCAACAGCAAACATGTACAACACATTTTACATTGGTTTTTCCTGTTATAGTTGATTTCATATTTCAGGTTTTCAGAGGTTGTCAATGTACCAAAATGTTTTCTGTGTGAATGTTAAATAAAAGTATTAGCTGAGAGAGTAAATGCAATTTACTTAACACAGGAAATTAGGTCTGTGTAAATTCCTTTTGAAGATAAAGGTTGTTTTTCAAAAGTGACTGAAATATACATGATATTTAATTAAAACCTGCCCTAAATCATGGAAATAAGATGAAATCTTCTTCTTCAAAGGAAGCCTCTGTGGTCACCCTGCTGCTTAGCAACGAGATAGGGAGAGATGAAGTCAGATTATTTAGCTGACGTTAAGGGCTACTTTCATTTGGCAGATTTTGTACCACACACACACACACACACACACACACACACACACACACACACACACACACACACACACACACACACACACACACACACACACACACACACACACACTTTATCGTGATGATAGTGTTGCAGTATAAACACATGCAGGTGCTGTGACAGACGTTTTTGCTATGTCCAGTTTTTCACGTTTTCTGACTGTAAACGTTCACAGGGCTTCTGTTTTGGGAAATCTGGAGAGATCCTGACTCTTAAACTGAGACTCGGGGCCTTCAAAGCCATGATGAGACAGGTGAGTGTAAATAACAGAAATCTGAGACCTGCACAAAGACCTGTGCTTAATTATTAATAAAACAGAGTCTCACCTCTTTCTCTCCCCTGTGCTATATCTCTTTCTGGGCTGAGCTTCATCACAAATTCAATTATTAATAAACAATAACCAAGTCAAGAAGTATAAAGCTACATCGTTTTAATTCAATAAGTTGATTGTGTTTTTAGGAAAGGACAGACTCAAACATTTTGCTTTCTTAACATTATGTATCTTTTATTTACACAGGGGAAAAACTATGAATTATAATTTCCTTTGATTGTTTTTTAATATATTTGTTTCACTTAAAATGTTGTTTTCTTAAAAATGATATATCGTAGCTTTGTTGTGCACCGACAGAAATGCTAGAGAGATGCATGTTATTTACGTTTGCTTTCTCTCATTCCAGGCTTCCTGATTATTTTCACCTGTGTCTCCTGTGCTCATCAATGTCAGCCCCGCCCCTGATTGGTCCCACCTGTGTCTAGTTACCCTGTGCTTATATTCCCCTGTCTCCCAAGTGTTCTTTGTCAGTTCGTATTGTCTCTTGCTATGGTCAGGTCTATGCTCTTTGTACTCTTGTAAAGTTTGATTCCTCACTACGTGAGCGCTTTCATTTTGTTCCTCTATTTTTGTCATCTCGGTTAGAGATTTGATAGTTACCTTTTTTGTTGTTCATTGCTGTATTTTGGAAAATAAAGTATCTTACTAATACTTTACCTCTGTCTCCCGGGTCGTGCAATTGGGTCCTACATCCTAAGTGTCTGAGTTCGTAACAAGCTTTGATGGGATAAAAACTAAAGTTTTATTTACAAAATGTATGCTAAACTGATTCCAGTATGCTTTAGTGTTTTAAGAATATTATGATGATTATGCGGAAAATATTGTCACCCACAAGTTTGTCCAGCACAATCGTGATACTTCCATATTATCCCAGGCCTAATTAAAACAATGTGGCACGTAAGACATTTCTGACTGCTGTTGTTTATTTAACGTTTTTAATTACGAGTTAATGTATAGTGTTTATTTTTAATACACATTTGTTTAAAGGAACTTGGCTGGTTTGACAACCCCAAAAACAGTGTTGGAGCGCTCACTACGAGACTGGCCACAGACGCAGCCCAAGTGCAAGTGGTAAGTCTCAACAGCAAACACACATACACACTCACAAAGACTAGAACAATGAATCGTCCAAGAAAATCAGGGATCTTGTCGTCTGCTTTGTTCCCACCTGCTCAGGCTACAGGAGTGCGTATGGCCACGCTGGCCCAGAATCTCGCCAACATGGGCACCAGCATTATCATCTCCTTCGTGTACGGCTGGGAGCTGACGCTGCTCGTCCTGTCGGTGGTGCCCTTCATGGCGGTGGCCGGCGCTGTGGAGATGAAGGCGCTCACTGGACACGCTACTGAAGACAAGAAGGAGCTGGAGAAGTCTGGAAAGGTAGAGATTCAGTGTGTCACAGTTCCAAGTTGTAATGACTCTTGAGCACATTGTTTTAAATCACTAGCCTTTTGATATTCTTTAGAGTACATAACATGTTTTTATGATTTGTCTCTACAGATTGCTACAGAGGCCATTGACAATATCCGTACTGTTGTCTCCCTTAACAGAGAACCAAAGTTTGAGTCTTTGTATCAGGAAAACTTAGAAATACCATTCAGGTGTGTTAGATTAATTAAACCAAATATCCAACATGCCCAATGGATATATGAACACAATTCAATGTTTAGTAATATAATTGGATAAATTAAAGGAGTAATCTCTCTGATTCACTGTGCAGGAACTCCCAGAGAAATGCCCACGTGCACGGTCTCACCTTCTCCTTCAGCCAGGCCATGATCTACTTCGCCTACGCGGGCTGTTTCCGCTTTGGAGCTTGGCTTGTTGAGGAGAACAGAATGGATATTCAGGGAGTATTCCTGTGAGTAAACAGACCAAGTGACCTTTTCTTGTCCCTTAATCATTAGATAAAGTTTAGTTGTTTTATATAGACTACTTGTGTTGGCGTGCAATTGTAGGTTACAGCAGATCAAAGCATTCCTGTTGGCCGGAGAAGATGTTTATATGGCTTTTAATCATTACCCCGGCCTGTAGTGTGCGAGGGGCCGCTGTGAGTGGGTTGGCTTGTACTGTAATCCAGATGACATTGTCACGCAAGACACCTGTACCTTTGGTGATGTAACAGTCACATGTGTGTTTAGGATGCTAACATGACTGTTACAAAGAGAGGAAGTCCAAAGGTCATTGCACCTTCAGCTTCTGAACATAAAACCATAAAACACAGAAACATTAACTCCTCACCCCCATACACCATGTTATGCAACCTTGTGCAGTGAGTTAAGTAAGTCAATTAATTTATAATGATGCACAAGACATCTATTATAAAATGTTGATAGTCTGGAAATGAGACAAAATATCTACAGCCACACAATCAGCCGTGTGATGCTTTTCTTAAACATAACGTTGTTTTGACCTAAAACATGCTAGTGTTTGCAGGTACTGTATATCATGTTCAGTTTAGCGTGTTAGCATGATAAATGAACTAATAAGCACTAAACACAAAGTGCAGCTGAGGCTGATGGGAATGTCATGATTAGTTTTGTGTCGTTTCATGTTCATTAACCAAAGTAATGGACAAAACTAAGAGAAAATGTATCTTAAACTTGAGAAAATGTCTTTATACATATTGGATGACTGCTGTGGAATTGGGTCATGATTTCTTAACTTCTGTTAGATATATCTATATGCGCTTGTAAAGCACTTTAAAAATGCTTGTCCTGTGACTGTGAAAATATGAATGATAAAACTAACGTGCATGGATTTTCTCTCCTAGTGTGGTTTCTGCTATTCTGTACGGAGCCATGGCTCTCGGAGAGGCCAACTCCTTCGCTCCAAACTACGCCAAGGCCAAAATCTCAGCTGCCCACCTCATGGCACTGATGGGCAGAGAGCCCGCCATTGATAATCTATCCCAGGCGGGAGAGTCACCGGTACATTTTAACACAAAGCCAAACCGAAAAAACAACACTCTTGTAATACCACTCTTTAGACAGATGCTAACATATCTCTCTTGTGTCATCTCTTTAAACCCCCAGGACACATTTGATGGTAATGTGCAATTTGACAGTGTTATGTTTAACTACCCGTCACGCCCTGATGTGCAAATCCTGCAAGGGCTGAATCTGAAGGTGAGGAAGGGAGAGACTCTGGCCTTGGTGGGGAGCAGTGGCTGTGGAAAGAGCACCACCATCCAGCTGCTGGAGAGGTTCTACGACCCCAGAGAGGGGAGAGTGGTAAGAAGACAAATAGACGTACATACTTTGTGCAACTGGGTTAACACCTTTATCTACTGCAACTTGTGTGTTTATGGCTACTTTACAGCACTGACATGATGAGAGGAAAATAAAAACTGTCTGAAGCTGGTGTAGCATGTGTGTTTTTATCTTTACTGCACCAGCCATTTCATTTTATCTTGATGGGATTCATTCCCGTTCATACTGACAGTCCTCTGAGAATGTGTATAATTTTATAACTAAATTCACATTTTTGTTGAAAATGAAAAGCTATTTTTTTACTACACAGAGAACCCTTTGCAAAACCTCTCTGTACCTGAGTATGATGATAATAAATATACTTTTATTCTAAAAGGCACACGGACATACTTGGCAACTATTTGATGACCAAAGTGGAGTATTCAGCAACTATAGATCCAAATTATCTTAGGATTTCTTGGATACCAAAGAAAAATCAGCATGTTATAGCCCCATCAATCCTTTTACAATAATGACTGCAAACTACTTTTCTCCTTCAGCTTCTGGACAATAAAAATGCACAAGAGCTGAACATCCATTGGTTGAGATCTCAGATAGGCATCGTGTCCCAAGAGCCCGTGCTGTTTGACTGCACGATAGCCGAAAACATCGCCTATGGAGACAACAGCCGCATTGCATCGCAGGCGGAGATAGAGGAAGCTGCCAAAGCGGCCAACATCCACAGCTTCATCGATAGCCTGCCACAGGTAACTGCTGAGGTTTCAGTGAGGAGATATGTCCAGACAAAGCCTGAAATTAAAGATATGTCGTTTTTGTATGAGCAGTTTTATAACTTCTCAAGGCCCTCTACTGGGCGTTTGGGAAATTGTTTCTCTAGTGGTACTTGTTTGGGCTATAGTATACTGTATGTGACCAGGTTTAGAGATATGCCGTCTGTCAATACATCTGATTTCTTCCTCCCTTTCTGAACAATGTCAGTTAATGGGATTTGTTTGTAGTGAATCTCACAGAATTTACATTACATCCATGTTTATTCAATTTAAACAAAATCAACAGAGAAATATGTGTAAACTCATATAAAAGTTTCTCAAAATTAATAAATAATGGATCAATATTTCACTTTTAATCTTAATTTAAATAATTGCCTCACAACTGTCTCTCTGTTGTTTTGGTATCAATTAAATTATTCTTTCTTGGAAATGACTCTACTGTAAGATAATGTTTAAGTATTTAAAATGGAAATATTTCAGCGAGGTGTTTGTTGGCTTTTGTCTTTATTTAGCATGTATAACGATGCACCTCTCTCTCTCTGTGTTGAGCAGAAGTACAACACTCAGGCCGGTGATAAGGGAACGCAGCTGTCAGGTGGTCAGAAGCAGCGTGTAGCCATAGCCCGAGCTATCCTCCGCAACCCCAAAGTGCTGCTTCTGGACGAGGCCACCTCCGCACTCGACACAGAGTGAGAAGGTAAGTGTTACGAGCACCAAGACCAATGAGCAAGAAAATGGGGAGAACTGGCGTTTTACCAGAAAGGTCCTTTTAGATACAGTAGATTGTGCCTGGGAGATGGGCAGCAAAGAAACGTTTCATATACACAAAATGACAGAACACATCACAAACAAACGTAACAAAAAAACAGACACAAACAATACAGGAATTGTACAGCAACATTCTTAAGCTTAAAGTCGATTCATTAAATGTACTTAATCCACTCTGGAAATTAAGTGCAAGTTATTCAAAATTACATACAATTGAATGTGCATTATCCCTCCACGACACAGGAAGTATTAATAATTAAAATCAATAGAGAAAGATGAAACAAGCCACGCCTTTCTCCAAATGTTTTTCTATAAGTCCATGTGATCTCACTGTCATCATGCTGCTCTTCCAGGTGGTGCAGGAGGCGTTAGACGAGGCCAGTAAGGGCAGGACGTGCATCATTGTGGCTCACCGTCTGTCCACCATCCAAAACGCAGACCGCATTGCTGTCTTCAAGGGAGGAGTGGTGGTGGAAGAGGGGACACATCAACAGCTGCTTGCCAAAAAGGGATTCTACTTCATGCTGGTCACCACACAGATGGGACACGGGAGGAAATAAGAGGACATAGAGAGCAATACAACACTGATGTCTCCAGAAATATTCATGTTTCCCTGTCCTGCTTTAGTAGAGCAATGAATGTGATCATCAGACAAGTCAAAAAGCCAAGTCAAACTCCTGTATTACCGTTCATTAGCTGTCACTTCTAAGGGCCTTTTTCACAGGAGATATCATTTGATATGTGACAGTAGGAGATGTGCAGATGTTAATAAGACCACAGATACTTGTATTGTGCATGCTGGCTTACTGAATATTTTTAGTAACACCTGCTCTTCTACTATCACAAGTCAAAATGTCTGCTGTTTTTTCCCCCCAAGTTTGTGCCTTGAACACATGGACTCCTGTTTTCCTTTCTTTATAAAAGGTGGACCTACTTGTTGCCAATACGCCTTAGCTGTTGATTTCTGGTGTCATCTTCTGTTAAGCGTTAAATACTACTGATGTAGAGAGATTAAAGATAGCGATACACTGGATTTATTATGCATGATAGGGCATTAAGTATACATCTGACACAGGGATCATCTTTACAAATGTTCTACAGGATATGTATTTGAGCGATTTTTTTTATAATTACTATGTTGATTGTCATGATGGAGAGTATCTTTTGTGTTAATAGTTGAATATAAGTGCCTAAAAAAAGAAAAATATTGTACACACAGGGCTGTTCAGAGTTTAATTTTTTATTGTCACACTTTGGTTGCAACCACAAGGAATCCATTTGTTTCTACAAATGCAAGGAAGGACTAACCTTCTTGTAAAACTTGCCTTTATGTAACTATTAAAGTTTTTTCATTCAGTAATTGAATCATCCACTTACTTCAACATCAGATTACAGTTCGCAACTGTAGTTGTCTAAACAACTACGCAACATTTCCAAGATCAAATACATTTATCATTTTGAATAATAAAACAAAAGTATTAAAAATGTGTAAGGGACTGAGAGGCAGAGTAGTGGGAGGCACCTACATTCCCAATAGGTGGCTCCACCCGCTGCCAATTAGCAGTATTGGGACCAGGTGTGGAGACCTCACACCTGGTGCTAATCACTCCCTCAAGGGAGACAAAGCACACAGAGTTGCTCAGTGGTGTGTGGCACATGGAGGGAGCAGGAGGCTCCCAGCGTGAGGAAACATTTTTGTAAGCTGGTAAGTCGGTTAGCGGCCCGGCTACGTTAGCCTTTGTTTAGTTAAAGGTATTTTTGAGTTTGTTAGCAATAAAGCCTCTTTTTGGATTTGAACACTGCCTCTGTCGTGATTGCTGCACTACCACTTTTCTCTTTATCTGCCCTGTCCTGTTACACTGGTGGAGAATGCGGGCATAAAGACTCTATTGGTGGTGTTGCAGTCAGAACAATTTTCTTTTTACGTTTTCAAGATGGAGGATGTACTAAAGGAGTTGGTGCATATTTCTACTGAGCAGCAGACTCTGCAACGGCAGATGATACAGGAGCAGCAGAAACAGAATGCACTTCTCCACATGGAGGTCCAAAAATGCCTTACAGCAGCCTCTCCTGTCCAGAGGGAAGCAACCATGCAGCCTAACCCAGGTCAATTCATCCCCAAAATGACAGAGAGTGATGAGATAGAGGCCTACTTAACGGCCTTTGAGCGCACAGCTGAAAGAGAGGGCTGGCCAAGGGACTCCTGGGCTGATCTGGTTGGACCGTTCCTCCTGGGTCCCGGCACAGCAAGCTTACTTCGACCTCCCTCCGGACCAAGCAAAGGATTACGTCGTCTTGAAGAAGGAAATCCTGGCGAGGTATGGCTACAGCTTAGCAGCAAGAGCCCAGCGGTTCCATGAATGGAAATACAAGCCAGAGTTGTCAGCCAGGGCCCAGATGTATGACCTAGGCCGGGTAACCAGAGCCTGGCTGACATGCAACCCCGAAAAGTTAAGTGTTTTAGAGAGGATAATGATGGACAAATATATTCGGTCTCTGCCCTATGAGATCAAGAAAATGACAAGCCAGCAGAATCCAGCCGGTCTGGATGAGTTGGTTAACGTAGTGGAGAGCCACGTGGTCACAGCGGACCTGCTTAAGTCCACACGACCAGACACCGAGTGGGGCCGGAAAGTCAGTGGGGAAGTATCACGGACTAGACGGGCACGAGAACCGCGATGGGAACCAGAAGAGGTAAGGCGACGACAGTCCTACCTGCCAGAGGGCCAACCGCGTTGCTACCAGTGTGGGGAGACAGGCCATATTGCCCGGGACTGCCCAGGGAAGGATGAGCTAATGCCGACCGCCAACTCATCTGGTGCAAGGCCCTGCCACCTTCTTGACTCTTGCTGGGTACAGGAAAGCTCCCTGGCTCAAATGATACCAGTCAAAGTAAATGGAAAAGATGCAGAGGCGCTAGTGGACTCAGGAAGTGTGGTAACCCTCATTCAACCCCACCTCCTCGACCATTTGCCATCTGAAGAGACTGTGCCCGTCTCCTGTGTCCATGGGGACACTAAATTATACCCCACTTGCCTCATCCACCTTACCACAGTTAAAGGCAGCTGTGAGATGAAAGTGGGGGTGGTTCCTTCCCTACCAGTCCCAGTCTTGGTGGGGCGAGACTGCCCACTATACAAGCGCCTGCGGCACCAGAAGGAGGTGAGTCCCAAAAAGCACAAGCGTGCCAAAGGAAAACGAGAGAGAGGACAAACTGCCACCCAGGGTACTTCTCCTCAGCAGTTCCCCAACGTTGTGTGTGCTGTGCCGGAGGAGCAGAGAGGCAACCAATTTTCCAGTGCAGACGAGGCAAATGATAACCCTTTTGTTGCTTTCCCTGGAGACCTAAGCACAGGTCATGAGGAGGGGGAAGTCTCATTGCTTCCAAGTTTGAAGGGCCAGTTCGGGACCGCCCAGATGGAAGACCCCAATCTGTTGCATGCACGCAGCAATGTTACGGAAATAGAGGGAAAACCAGTTCCAGGAGTGGGTGAGCTTACATGTCCTCATTTCCTAATAAAAAATAATCTGTTATACTATGCCAAAGAGGTTGAAGGTCAGCGAAGAGACTTGTTGGTTGTCCCAAAACAATATGTGTCCACAGTGTTGCATCTGGCTCACAGCCATGTCCTAGGGGCCCACCTAGGGGTTGAGAAGACAAGGCAGCGGATTGGGAGCCGGTTCCACTGGCCAGGGGTGGTAAGGGCTATAGAGGATTATTGTCGCACCTGTGTTGAATGTCAAAAGATGAGTCCCAAGCCACACTTTAAAAGTCCCCTAATACCTCTACCGATAATCGATGTACCGTTTTCTCGCATTGCCATGGACTTAGTGGGGCCGCTGGTGAAGTCTGCCAGGGGACATCAGTATATTCTTGTGATCCTTGACTATGCAACCAGGTACCCGGAGGCCATTCCCTTGAGGAACATGACAACGAGAGTGATTGCACGGGAGCTGCTTCACCTGTTCAGTCGAGTTGGGATTCCTAAAGAGATGCTAACAGACCAAGGCACTCCCTTCATGTCCAAGATAATGAAGGATATCTGCAGGCTCTTCAAGGTAAAGCAGCTTCGTACATCTGTCTACCATCCGCAGACAGACGGATTGGTAGAACGCTTTAACAAGACGTTGAAATCCATGTTAAAGAAGGTTGTTGACAAGGATGGTCGTAACTGGGACCAGCTTCTGCCCTATGTCCTGTTTTCAATCAGGGAAGTTCCACAGGCTTCAACCGGTTTCTCCCCCTTCGAGCTGCTGTATGGCCGACAGCCCAGAGGACTTCTCGACATCGCGAAGGAAGCCTGGGAGGAGCAACCAAGCCCCCATCGGAGCCTGATTGAGCATGTAGAGACGATGCAGACGCATATGAAAGATGTTTGGCCCATGGTCAGAGAGCACATGGCTCAAGCCCAAGAAGCCCAGAGGAAAGTGTATAACAGAGGTGCCCAACCACGTGAGTTCCTGCCCGGGGATAACGTGCTTCTCCTGGTCCCCACCACAGAACACAGATTCCTGGCATCGTGGCAAGGTCCCTATGAAGTGACAGAGAAGGTGGGACCAGTCAACTACAAGGTACGCCAACCTGGCCGTCGCAAACCATCCCAAATATACCATGTTAACCTGTTAAAGAAATGGTATGCCCGAGAGGCACTGTTGTGTTCTTGTTCCCTGTTTGTATCCCCTTCTCCAGACCATGAGGTGGCCGAAGTTGAATACGGTCCAGGGCTATCCAAAGCTCAGTTACAGCAAACCAAGGAACTGGTTCAGCAGAGTTTGGATGTGTTCTCACTACGACCTGGACGCACAACGATGGTGGAACATCAAATCCACACAGAGCCTGGCCAAAAGGTAAAGATGCGACCCTACCGGGTGCCGGAGGCAAGACGGGCGGCCATTGAGCAAGAAGTGCAGAAAATGCTGGCTAT